CGGAGAAACTAAGGTGCCAGCCTGGCAGGGTGGACATGCTCATTATCGGGGGGAGGTCGGGTATGACGGTACGTATGCACGTTCAGGTTTTCAGCAGGGACACAAGACACCTAAGGACAGGGATGGGAGGAGCGGGGCCACTGGGACCCCGCGGGAGGCGTGGTCGAGAGGGTGCTGGGTGGGCACGTCCTGCAGGGGCAGAGGGAGGAGCTGCTTCCCCGGAGGGCCACACCTGTGGACTCACCACTTCAGAGCAGCCGAGAGCCTGAAAGCGACAGGGCACTCGACACTTGCCACACATCCTGACGTGCTCCTGGAACTGGAAAGACTGTCAGTCCACCCGCTCGCCCGTTACCACGTGCCCACCCTGCACCACCACATGGGCCAGAGCCGCCCAGACCACACGCTCGCCCGTTACCACGTGCCCACCCAGCACCATCTAGACTGGAAACTCAGGCCTCCTGTCTGGGTTCAACATCCCATCGTGGCCCCAAACAGCAATGAAGAGCAGGCCCATGAGGAAACTGGGAAGCCCCAGAGCCAACGGTGCCAGGATACAGGGTACCGGCCGTGCCTCAGGTCACTGGGGACAGGCACTCGGGAAAGCAACGGGGGCCCTCGTCCACCAGCCGAGTCCCAGTGCTTCTCCCCCACATTGGGGGAGGGGATGGTCACGACGGAACCAAACTCAGAAGTGGTGACCAGAACAACTTGCCCAGCAGCCCAGCAGCCCAGCAACGAGAGAACACGCGAGCCCAGCAATGGAGCGAGCAGAGCAGCAGCTCACACCCAAAGGATCCCTCTCCTGTGGAAGGTTCTAGAAGTACCAGCCAGCCACTGGGAGACAGGCAGGCAGGCAGGAGGCTACACCTTCATTGAGACACACACGGTCCCCAGGAGGCTCTCCTGTCCTCCAGCCACCACCTGAAGGCTCCCCAGCACCTGCCACTGGTCTGGCTCTCTCACTGCGAGTGGGGGCACAGGCTGGGTTTGGCTGCTCAGACACCAGGACGCACACACCCCTGACTCGTCTGCCCATCCCTTCTGTGGATCTCACTGTCAGATCCAGCACCCAGACAACTCCCTTCCTGCATGTGAGGGGTCTCTAAACTCCAGGACAGGTGACTTCCGGATACCACGTGCCCCCATGGTGAGGGGACGCAGACTGAGGGCTCAGGACACCACGTGCCCCCCGTGGTGAGGGGACGCGGACCGAGGGCTCAGGACACCACGTGCCCCCACAGGGAAGAGATGCAGACCAGGGGTCAGGACCTGGCTGCTTCTATGGTGAGGGGACGCAGACCAAGGACACTCTGGCCAGAGGCGACTAGGCACCCCCTCCACACCCCAGCACTAGCTGACATGATTGTGCACCAGGAACAGCAGAGCAAAGTGGATGTGCTGTGATGTGACGTGACACAACGTGACGTGCTGTGCCGTGACATGCCATGAGCCCACAGGCCCTCCAGTGTTCCTGCCACATGCCAGAAAGCCTGTATCCGACTGGTCTCTATGTCACGAGGTGGCACACGCCTGAGGAGGCCCCCACTGAATCCACAGGGGGGACGCTGCTTAGTGTCTGTCCTCCCAAGAAGGTGGGGACAGGATGGGGGAGGCAAGAGGCCTGTGTAGGACAGACAGCGGTGTCTGGTCCTCCCTGTGTATTAACTGAAGCCCACAGATGGGTGCAAACACAGCATACCAAGGAGCCGCTGTGCCACCCAGGGACTGCAATAGGCAGTCAACACAAAGCCTCAGGCCGCGGCCCAGCCACACCCCACAACACACACGTCTCCATCCACGGTGGGGCGGGAACCATGCAGCCACTTACGTCCTCTCGTAGAATCTTCTCCCCACAGCCTTCGCACGTCAGGGGGAACTGGGGGCAGATGTCACAGTGCACCTGCGGAGAAGTGTCAGGAGGGTTAGGGCCCCCCACCCTGGACCATACAGGCTCCCAGTGTGCTGACTTCGGCCAGGGACCACCTGCAGACAGGCCTCCCCACCCCAGACTGCCCCAGGGCAGCACTAGGGACAGAGGCGCTCTAATGATCTCCTAAGAGCATGTGGCTGCTCGCAGCCTCGCTGAAGCAGCAGCCCTGTGCACCAAGGGAGACATGGGTGGCCAGACATCGGAGCCCCCACGGGATGCTGTCGGCCTGAGCGGCCTCTGGGAAGGCCCACAGGAAGCTGAGAGCAAGGGGACACATCAGAAATGGCACGAGGTGCAGTCAACGTAACCCAGAAAAGAGGGCCCCCCAAGGACAAGAGGCCCCACTGCATCAACAGACAGGCCAGCAGGACCATCAAAGACACCATGTCCTAGAGACACCTGACCCACAATGTGCCATCCGGGTTCCGACAAAGTGAGCCCACTGGCAGGGCCTGTCAGACTGTGGGGACGCACAGGGGACTGACGAGATAGGATGCTGATGCCTCACCGACAAGGCACCCGTCTACATGCCCTGAAGACCTCAGACCAGGACGTCCCATGGGGGACCTGCTTCAGGGGTGGGGTCGGAGGCAACAAGGCCACAGCGAGTCTGGGGGTGCCAAGGGCATCCCTCTCTCCCCAGAAGCAGCCAGACCGCCCATGATCACCTGTAGGCAGCCCCACACCCTCACCTGCAGGTTGGCTCCACAGCAGGGGGCCTGGCAGTGCGGGCAGCTAAGCCTGCGCTCGGGGCACTCGAGTTCCGCGTGACGCTCCTTCTCACCCAGGCGCACAGTGGCCTTGCAGGCAGCGCACTCGGTCAGCATGAACGGACAGTGACCCTCATGGCCACTCTGGAGCAGGAAGAGAGCAAACAGAGGGTCACTGGGTGACTTGGGCGCCTGTGCTCCCCAGTAGGCCACACCACCGACTCCTGTGCAGCTGGCCCTGGGTTGGAGCCCCATCAAAAACCCTGCAGTGACCCTCGTGTCCTAAGGTCCCCGTTTTTCCCCGCGAGTGCTGCTGCTCCAACACTAGGTGCTCTGTCCACACCAGCAATGTCCCCCAGCCAGGCCCCGAGACCCTGTGCCAACCCTCAGCAGTACTGCAAAGCACCCAGTCCGAGAGCAGGGCTGCCCTCTGCAGACGGACGGAAGGCAAGGGGTCGCACAGGCCGTGATCCCGGGAGAGGAGGCACCAGCAGAAGCAGCCTGCGCCTCTCTGGGCACCCCGCCCCTCAGGAAACCCACCAGCTTGACTCAGGACACCCACAACACAGCCCTGCTGCCAGCAGGAGCTCGCCTGCCCCACCCTGGCTACTCCCATCCCCCCAAAAGCAGCTGCCTTCCTCCACACCACAGGGCTGCAGGGGGCAGGGGGTGGAAGGAGGTGAGGGGCTGGACTGGACGTGCCGAGAGCCACAAGGATGTGGGGGACAGCTCGTGGCTCTGAAGAGGAGAGGGACCAGTGGGCGGCTACAGGTCCACAGGGGCCCCACCACGTGTCTTCAGGATCCCCGCTCGCAGCTTCCCAGGGAGGGCGTCCTCTGCGCCCTAACCCCACATGTCAGCCCCAAGGGGCATCCCACAGCACAGACACCCGGCAGGCAGAGGTGAGGTTCACAGCCGAGGCGTGGCGGCCTCCCACAGAGACCCTTGTGTGAGCTCCCCACTAGGGCTGGACAGGAGATGCTGCTGGGGGGCGGGCCCCATGAGGGGGTAGGACCCTGCGCAGCGGACAGGACACCTCAAGGGGAGTGGGCCACTGCAAGGGAGGTGACATTTGAGGGGAGCGGGCCACCGTGATGGGGTAGGGCCACCTTGAGGGGGCGGGCACTGTGAGCTCCTCCCAAAATCACAGGCTGGCCTGGCCACTCCTGCCCCTCCCAACTACAACCCTCCAAAGGCCTGACCTAAGCCTAAGCCTAAACCCTGTGACTGACTGGCCAGCGACTGCAGCCGAGCCAGCCTGTCCGTCACCCTCCCACCCCCACCCACCCACGGCCTGTCCCCAAAGCAGGGTCTTCCAAGTGCCAGCTTTCCTGACCCCATGGCCCCAGGTGCCCGGTCCCATCATCGACCCCGCCCCCCTGGTGACCCTCCACCTCTGGCTGGACAATGTGCAGAGGCAGGGTCAGCCCGGGCACACCAGGGGCATCAGAGGCGTGGTCAACCCATGCATGAAATATGCCAACGTGCAAAGGAAAGCTGGTGGCCCTCCGACAATATGCTCAAGGGAGGGTGCCCGCACACGGGGAGCTGCTGGCAGCCCCTCGATGTAGCCAGATGCAGGGGCCCCCACCCACGTGGAGCTGGGGTGACTGCAGGGAGCCCCTGCGGAGCCAGAGTGGGTGAAGGGTCCAGGCCCCCGCCCGTGGAGCCGGCTGGGTGCAGGGTCTACACCCCCTCACACCTCTGCTCTGCGGCATGGAACGGCCGTCCTCTCTGAAGGCACGAGCTGCCCCTGGCAGACGTTGTCATGCCACCAAACCCGGGGCACTCGCCCCACTGGTAGGTAACTGGGGCAGATCTCCAACCCTGGTGCTCAGAGAAGCACCACCGGCAGAAGCCACAGCCCCCAATTAGAACCCACTCGTCTCTCCACTGCACGGCTGCGGGGAGGCAGGCCTTCCTAGGACATGGGGGAGCTGGCTGCTGACCACGTCCTCCTCCCCACAAACCTTCCCGACCCTGTGCTGTGCTCTGCTGCCCTGAGTGGCCCGTGGGAACCATGGCAAGAGGTTACAGCAAGTGCCTGGGACCCAGGAAGCACTCTGAACCGAGCCAGGCTCTCAGCAAACCCTAAGCGTCACAGTAAAAGGACCCACACCCGAGGCCGGGCTGGACTTCCTCTCTCACACACTTGTCCAAACAATCCCGACCTCAAGGAAAGCGTGCTGTCTCCCAGTCCCGATGCTGATACAATGCTGATACGAGGCAGACAGGACAGAAGGCAGGCAGCCCTGGGCTGTGTCGGCTCCAAGGGTGGGGCTCAGGCCTGAGCTGGACCCGCCCTGGACGTGAGCCGGCCACCGCCCACACCACCGCCTCCCAGGCTCAGGGACTTTCCGAAGCGCAGGGGCCTGGCCAGGGACTTTCCACCCTGCCTGTCTGCAGGTGGCAAGGCGCCCACAGGCCCACGCTGGCTGCAGTCTCAGGTCCACGGCCAGAGGACACTTACCACTCCGCTGCCAACCACAGCTCGGCTTGTAGGCCTGGGGGTCAGGATCAGCCGGGGGGCCGCGAGCCTGGCAGCAGGGGGTAATGCCCCTCGCAGAAGAGTAGCCCTATGCCACTCACCAGGCAGCTGCACACACAGGCTGCACATCCGTCCCCGCCCCCATCCCCCTCAAATCAGAATCACCCACAAGACAAGAGCGTGGCAGGCACCTGGGTAGGACAGAGCACACAGTCCTGTAGGCAGATGGCTTTGCCCTGACTCTGCTCCTGGGGCCAGCCACTCCCACCTAATCCCCACTCTGCCACACCTGGCCACGATGCCACAGCCTCCCCACTCGCCAGGTGGCCTCTGACCACTCTGAAAGGGTGCCAAGTCCCCAGTTCCCCAGTCACCAGACCTGCTGGCTCTGGGCACTGCCAGCCTCCACGTCGGACGCCTGAGGCGACAGCACAGTTACACAAGCCAGGCCTGTTGGCAGTAAGGAAGTGCATGGAGGCCGTGAGCTGGCAGACGTGGGCCTTCCCGTGGCTACCATGGTGCTGACTGCATCTCCAGTTCCCACGGGAGGAGGGCCTTATGTGCCCTACCGTGGGCTGCAGCCAGACAGCCAACAGGGACACAAAGGCTGGTCCTCTGCTGCAGGTGCTCAAGCACCTCACAGTGGGGTGAGGCGCCCTCCAGGCTGGGCACAGAGAGGGCACTGCCCTAGGCCACACGGCCCGCTGGCACAGAGCTGGGACCAGAGCCCAGGTGCTGTGCGACGTACGTGTCCATGCAGACACAAGAGCAGCTCCTGCGCTTCTCAAAGACGGCCCACCCGTTAAATCCCAGCACAAGGTGACAGCATGGGGGATGGAGCGGGGCACCGGGGGCTGCAGCCCCGCGCCCACCCCAGTCCCCACTGTTACCTCATACTCCTTGACCGTCCCTGTCCAGGTGCACCCGCTGTGCGGACAGACTGCTGGCAGGCCCTCTACCTCCCTGCGGGCAGCGTTGTCTGGGAAAGCCTGGGGAGGGAAGCAGTCCCGGTCAGGCTTTGTCCCGCCTTGTGAACGCATCCAGGCACATCCAGTCATGAGCCGTGAGCGGCCCCTCAAGGAACAGAGACTCGGAGAGTCGGCACCGGACAGTCGGCGTCGTGGGCGTCTGCTCTGAGAGGGTGCCCAGTTTCTCCGGAGTCACCCGCCCTCCCAGCCGCAAGAGGGTGTCCCAGAATGTTCCCAGGTCCCTGCAGGTACCCACCGAGCCGCTGTCTAGGATGGAAACGCCTTCTTCATATATGCCCTCCTGCACGCAGGCGGCACAGTTCTGGGGCCCAGAGCTGAAGGGAGGAGGAGAAAGTCGGCCGTGAGACCCTCGAGGATCGAGCGAGCACTGTCCTCCTTGCCCCGAAACCCAGCCTCCCGATCCCTTCTCACGCCTTCGTCTTTCCTCGGATCAGAGACCAGCGTCTGCTAACCACTCAGCCTCTGGGGGCTCCAACACCAGGCAGTCCTGTGTATCGGCAGTCTCGGCCGCCCTCCACAGACACACTTGGGCACTCAAGTTCCCACACGCATGCTCTCCCTCGGACGGCCGCCCTGCAGTCCAGCGCACCCCAGGCGGCAGTCCTCCAGGGGACGTGCTGCCAGTACAGACCAGGACGTTTAGGCTCGTCTGAGCTCCAGGCCTCACCTCAGGATGCTAGCCAAGCAGTAGGAGCAGTAGCGGTGGCCACACTGGGCCTGCACAGGGCGACGCAGCACGTTCCCGCAGGCTGAGCACAGGTACTTGTCTTCCAGCTTTGTGCCTAACAGTGTCCTGGAGAAGCCGGGCTGCAGCAGGTCTAGGGAGCCAGGGGGAGTCACGCTCGCAGCTGCCATGGGGGCCGCCTCCCGGCTGGCCTGCCTAAGCCTGCAGAAGAGAGCCACATGTCACAGGGGCTCTCCCCTCCCTGTCCCCACCCCCAAGGGCCCGCTGGGAAATGACACAGATCAATTTCCTGCCAGAAACTTGAGAGCCATGGCTTAGTGAGGGCCTGGGACCACCACACAGCCCCCCATGCCAGCTGAGTTCAAGGCCACCTGCAAGGCGTTTCGCCTGAGCACAGGGACACCCCCAAGGGCCCTGGCCGATGGCACCAGACTGTGCAGCCGCCACGCCTGCTCAGGGGGACCAGCCCCCCGACGCTAGGCCACTGGGGCCTGGCTCTGAGTTTTGGTCCAGGACAGCAGGCAGCTGTGAACTGTGCCTCAGCCACAGGGACAGGGTTCACAATCCCAGCTGCCAGCCCCCTGGGTCCTGGTTGTGCTGCAGACCAGGAGCACGGTCGCTTGGGGCACCATGCTGCGGCCAGTAGCTTCCCGTTCACACCGAGTGCTGACACGCTTCTAACCGTGCCAAACTGCTCCCGCCCCCACTTCAAGCACCACCTAGCTGGACCCATGGGGAGACACCCTTTCCTCCTAGTCTCTGGGCTGACCGTGGCCTCGTGGCCCCTCCAGCCACCCTGCCAGCTCCCACCCTGCTCAGGAGGCAGCCCCCAGCTGGGTGGGCCTCCAGGCTCCCACGGAGCCTTCCTCCTGCCAACGCCGGGCCCTCCTTGTGCAGCAGCCCAGGAGAAACTGCGCTTCTGTGGGGCTGACGCTGGGACAGAACAGGGACTCAGGGCACCTCAAGCCCCTGCCAAGTGTGCTCAAATGATGTCCCCGAACCCACAGACTGAGCTGCACCTCAGTGTCAGAGATGCCAGGGCCCCTCTCAGCAGGAGAGAGAAACAAAGCTGGAGAACAGAGGACGGTCAGCCACCAAACTCCAGGCCACGACCATGCCTTCTCCAGGCCGCGACCACGCCTTCTCCAGCCTGTGAGCCCACGGCTGGGTCTGCTGCCAACGCTTTCCAGAGAAGAGGAGGAGATGAAACTGGTGAAGCGTGAGGACAAAGGGCCTCCAAACCTCCGGCTGAGGTGACTGCGACCTGGAGTGCAGGTGTGTGGACAGGGCCTGCTGGGGCTCCGTCACCCTCGTCCCCAGTGTCCCCAGGCGGCGGCTCTCACGGTGGCCTCACCCCGTCGTAGCCATGACTACTGGCACACTGAGTCTGCTGCTGGAACCAGCGTCCGCCCCTCTCCTAGTGGGTCTCCCTCCCTGTCACCAATCCCTCCCCTTTCCCAAACACGAGATCCTTTCCTGACAACCTGTCTCCTCGCACAACGCGTCCAAAGCACGTGAGCCGAGATCTGGTCCCCATCCCCAGCAGCATCCTGGCTGTGTCTCCTCTAAGACCAAGCCGCTGATTCTTCACGTCTTCAGTCTGTTCGATATCCCTGCTGACCCCCCTGCTCCCATCTGCCTTTTTCCTTGTCCGGCTTCCGCATGCACATGAGACCAGAGACCATGGCTTGGTCAAAGCGACTGTCTTGCTAAAAAGCACACTAAAGAGCTCTTTCACAGCAAATCTGCCCAATGTATCTTTTGATTTCTGCTGCCTCCACAAGCATTGACTATAGATCAAGTTGCACGGGTGAAAGATAAAGCTCTAGGGCACAACGGACGCCAGGAGTGACGGGCACCAGGTGTGACGGACACTGGAAGTGACAGACACCAGGAGTGACAGGTACCAGGAGTGAGGGACACTGGAAGTGACGAACACTGGAAGTGACAGACACCAGGTGTGACAGACACTAGGTGAGGTGCTTCAACAAATGGCTGCAACGCTACAAACACCGACTTGCTATGCCAAGAAATCTAAAAGCAGCTACCTGGTCAACCAAATGGAAGAGATAGATACACGTTGACATCCATTCCAAAGAAATGCAATCAAGCAGAAGGCAAAACTCACTGAACAACGTTATTAAAATCACGTGCAAACAAAATCCTGAGGACAATTCACAACTGACTGCGGTCCTGCATCTACAGAGAACTACCGGAAGCTTGGGCGGGACTCAGAAAAGGTGGTAGAAGCTGGTGTTGGACCTGTCTTGGCCAAGAACAGAGAAAACGCAAAGATGTTCACCTGTGCTTCAGCACCTTGGGACACGGGAACACACGCTCACAAAAGCCCACTTAAACAAGAACATGCCGGGCCCCTCAGCCATCCAGTGTTCTTGGCCGAGGTGAGTGGCCTTGACTTCCTGCTGTGTTAGGTCAGGGCTCCTGAGCACAGGGGCCTCTGGCACCCAGCCACCCTCTCACTGTGGCACGCTAGCCACTGTTCTCACCAGACCTTGGGAGCCAGGGAGTGAAATGTGGTCCCCAGCCAGGCCTGACCTGCTTGGCCCACGGGCGGGCAGCAACCTGCTGAAGCCCCTGTGAGCAGAGGGCCACTCTGCCCGACAGAACCATGGAGTGCTCCAGCCCGCTGGCACCAGAGACAGGAAGTCGGCGTTTTCTGGAGAGGTGCTTCCCAGCAAGGAAGCAACGGGGAGGAGGTTTCCAGAGGGGGTACAGTGCTCACAGCAGAGCCTGGGGTAGAGGGGATCCCCCCGTGTGTTGGGGAGACACCGCCACCTGCAGGGAGCAGGGCCTGGTGGGGCGGCGGAGGCCTCAGCAGGACCGTCCCGAGCAAAGCCTTGGGACCTGCTGTCTCAGTTATGGCAGGCACACCTGCCCCACTCAGAATCATGTTCAAGGTCAAGTGACAAAGATTCTTCCACTGACAGGTGATGGGGTGCTCTCTGCCTGACCAATGCTGTCCCCCCACTTTGCCTGAGGCTGGCTGGGGGAAGTGAGTGTTGAGGGCAACAGGGGCCACGACGAGGTGCAGAGGGGCAGGGCTGCACCCAGGGAGCAGGGTGTCCGCCTGCAGTCACTCAGGCGTCTACCTCCCGCAAGGGCTCCCACAGGCCAGGGAGGGGCTTGTGCACTCGGGTACCGACACGCTGTAAGACTTAGCGAGAGCAGACTTGAAAAACACAAGTTCAAAACCCAAACGGTAAAGTTCACGGCACGTACATTATACGTCAAAGCCGTTGAAAAAAACGGACTGGCAATTTCACATTGTTGGGGTCCCACCTGAAAACAGGAACTCTGAGTCACCAAGTACCACTGCCCAGCAGGTGACACATAGCCCCAGTCAGGCAGGGTCAGGACACTGGCCAGCACACCTCTCAGCCCAGAGCTGGAGAGCCAGGTCCCAAACCCACGCAGCCTCAGCTCTGCAGCCAGAACGAGGCACCTGTCCTCACAGAGCGCAGGTATCCCAGGTAGCAGGACCGCTCCCATCAAACACCTGTCAGTTCCAGTCACCTCTATCTACCGAGTCACGCTTTCACGCGAACACCTTCCTCTGTGCACAGCAGCCTGCTGCAGCCCCTGGGGTCCTCGAACCCCGGCCCCGAGTCTCCGCTCTGGCTCCCAGCACACAGAGATCCCTGGGGCGCAGCCCTGAGCTGGGTCCTGGCCAGACATTCGTCATCTGCCTGCCTGCTGGGCGCAAAAGACACAAACCAAGCCCTGACAGCCCATAGGAGACCAGGTGGGTGTCCCAAGAGAAACGGGCAGCTGGGAGGGCTGGCCAGGGCTGGGGCGCCAGGTACACATCTGTGCACTCACATGACCAAGACCTACCTGCTCCTGGGAAACCACCAGGGTGGGAACGGGTGGGGGCCTCCAAGGGACAGGAAAGGACTGCGGTGCCCACGGATAGGTGTGCAAAGGGGTGTGGGGGCCAGAGGTCTTGGAAAGCGACCCTCAAGGCCTGAAGGTCCCAGAAATGGATCAGGCAGCGCTACAGAGGAGCTGTGTGAGGACAAGTGTGTGAGTACAGCTGTGTGTACAGACGGGTGTGAGGGGACAGGTGTGTGCAAGGACAGGTGTGTGTAGAGAGGCATGCAGGGACAGGCATGAGGAGACAGGCGTGTGCAGAGACAAGTGCGTGCAGACAGCCGTGAGGGCACAGGAGTGCGGGCACAGGAGCGTGGGAACAGGTGTGCAGGGACAGGTGTGTGTGGACAGGCGTGTGTGGACAGGCGGGCAGGAACAGGTGTATGTATGCATACAAGTGTGCGGGGACAGGAGTGCAGGGACAGATATACAGACAAGTGTGCAGGGGCAGGCGTGTGTGGACAGGTGTGTACGAACAGGTGTCTGGGGACAGGTGTGCAGGGACAGGCATGCAGGGACAAGTGTATGGGGACAAGTGTGCAGACAGGAATGTAGGGATAGGTGTGTGAGGACATGTGTGTGTGGACAGGGTATGAGGACAGATGTCTGCAGACAAGTGTGCAGGGACAGGTGTGCAGAAACAGGTGTGTGGACAGGCATGCCAGGCAAGTGTGTAGGGACAGACATGCCGGGACAGGTGTGTGCAAACAAGTATATGGGGACAGGCATGCGAGGACAGGTGTGCAGAAAGGCGTACGGGGGCAGGAATGCAAGGACAGGTGTGTCTGGACAGGTGGGAGTGGACAGGTGTGTGTGGACTGGGGTATGGGAACAAGTGTGCAGACAGGAGTGCAGGGACAGATGTGTGCAGACAGGCATGTGGGAACAGATGTGTAAGGACAGGAATACAAGGACAGGTGTGTGGACAGGTGTACGGGGACAGCAGTGTGAGGGCAGGTGTGTGGAAATATGTGGGGACAGGTGTGTGTGGACTGGTGTGTGAGGACAGGTGTGCAGACAGGCGTGTGAGGACAGGTGTGCAGGGACAGGTGTGTGTGGACTGGTGTGCGGGGACAGATGTGCAGGGGCTGGTGTGTGAGGACAGGTATGCAGACAGGTGTGTGGACAGGCATACAGGGAAAGGTGTGCAAGGACAGATGTACGGGGACAGGAGTTCAAGGGCAAGTGTTGCAGACATGTGCCAGGACAGATGTGTGTGGACTGGTGTGTAAGGACAGGTGAACAAACAAGTGTGAGGGCATGGGGGCAGGTGTGTGTGGACAAGTGTGCGAGGACAGGTGTGTGTGGACTGGTGAGGACAGATGTGCAGGGACTGGTGTGTGGGGAAAGGTGTGCAGGGACTGGTGTGCAGACAGGTGTGTGGGGACAAGTGTGCGGGGACAGGTGTGCAGACAGGCATACAGGGGAAGGTGTGCAAGGACAGGGGTAGGGGGACAGGAGTGCAAGGGCAGGTGTGTGCAGACAAATGTGCGGGGACAGATGTGTGTGGACTGGTGTGTGGGACAGGCGAGCAGACAAGTGTGAGAACAGACATGGGGTAGGTGTGTGCAGACAAGTACGCAAGGACAGGTGTGTGTGGACTGGTGTGCAGGGACAGGTGTGTGGACAGGTGTGCGGGGACCGGTGTGCAGACAGGCATACAGAGGAAGGCGTGCGAGGGCAGGTGTATGGGGACAGGAGTGCGAGGGCAGGTGTGTGTGGACTGGTGTGCCGGGACACGTGCGGGGACAGGTGTGTGTGGACAGGCATGCGGGGGAAGGTGCGCGCGGATGGACGAGTTCGCCGAGCCGGAGCCAGGGGAGCCGCTCGCGGCCACGCCGGGCGGGTCCTCGAAGACCGGCACGCCGCCTCGCGCCCGGAGCCAGCGGCCCGCGGAGTTCGCGAACTTTCCTGCGCGGCCGCGCTCCGAGTTTCAGTTTCCGGGCGCTCCTGTAAAATCCCCTAAGGCCTGGGCGGCGGCCCGGCTGCCCGCCCTCCCTCTTGGCCCGGTCTCCTCGCCCGGTCCCCCGCCGCAACCCGTGTCCCGCGCGGTCCCGGCCGCGCGCGCCCCGCGCCCCGAGACCAACTCACCCCAACGGTCGCCTCGCGCCCGGAACTGAGTGCCCGCCGGGCAGCCCCCGCCGCCACCACCCGGATCCGCCTGACAGACAGACGCCACCGCCTACCCGAAGCGCACAGGGAGCCGCAGCGGAAGCCGATTGGTTGGATCCGCCCCCGCCGCCGGCCGCCCCCGAGTTCGTCTGACTGACAGACGCCACGGCCTACCCGAAGCGCACAGGGAGCCGCAGCGGAAGCCGATTGGTCGGATCCGCCCCCGCCGCCGGTCGCCCCAGAAACGCCTGACAGACAGACGGCACGGCCTACCTCAAGCGCGCAGGGAGCCGCAGCGGGCGCTGATTGGTCACCGCTGTCGCGCCGTCGCATTTAGACCACGCCGTTCAGCCTTTTCCGAGCCTGGCGCTGTTGAGTGTGTGTAGTTTCCTGGGGCCGTTCAGTTACCGCCTCCTGCAGCCAAAGCCCTCGGCCCTCCGCGCCGACGAGCTACACGAGAACAGGCCGGTGCAGGCCGTGTCGGTCCTCACGGAGGCGGTGATGCAGGCCGGGACACGAGGAGCGAGCGCGGCCGGAGCGTGCGATGTGCTGCCAGGCGCCGCCCGCGCCGTCCAGCGGCCACCAGGGTGAGCCCTAGGCCCCGACTGGATTCTGTACGGGCCGCGCACACAACAGGACTTCGTTCCAGTTACATCCGTGGAAAACAGTAAAGAGTAACTGGCCTGCACTTCGGGGGTCAAGTTCCCTTTGGGAGTGGAGAAAATGATCGCCAGCTGTATGGACGCTGCGGTAGAGTTGGCGTGACGCACGGCGACCCCACTTGGACCAGAACGAGGCACGGCCCGTGCTGCACCAGCCTCGGTCCTGCCCGCTCCCTGCTGTACCTGAGCCAAGGTTGCAGCCCCCGTGTCAGTCCCTCTCCCTGAGGGTCTTCCCCTACTTCGCTGACCCTCCACTTTGCCAAGCATGACATCCCCCTCCAGGGAATGGCCCCTTCTGACAGCATGACCAGAGTAGGTGAGACCAAGTCTGGCCATTCTCGCCTCCAAGCATTCTGGCAGCACTGCTTCCGGTTAGTTCTTCTGGCAGTCCATGGTACTTTCAGTCTTCTTCACCAACACCACAACTCAAAAGTATCAACTCTTCTTCAGTCTTCCTTGTTCGTTGTCCAGTGACAGAGAACTTCCAGAAGTGCAGGCTGGATTCAGAGGAAGACATGGAATGAGGAATATCATTGCTGATGTCAGATGATCTTGGCTCAAAGCAAATAGCAGAAAGATGTTTACTTGTGTTTGATTGACTATGCAAAGGCATTTGATTGTGTGGATCATAACAAATTGTGGATAACTTTGAGAAGAATGGGAATTCCAGAACACTTAATTGTACTCATGAGGAACCTGTACATAGACCAGGAGCTGTCGTTCAAACAACAAGGGGACACTACATGGTTTAAAATCAAGAAGTGAGTGTGTCACGGTTGTATCCTTTCCCCACACTTATTCAATCTATATGCTGAGCAAATAATCCGAGAAACTGGACTATATAAAGAACGTGGCATCAAGATTGGAGGAAAAATATTAACAATCTGTGATATGTGGATGATACAACTTTGGTTGCTGAAAGTGAGGATGACTTGATGAAGATTGAAGACTGCAGTCTGGATTACATCTCAATATAAAGAAAACAAAAATTCTCACAATGGGACCAATAAGCAGCATCATGATAAATGGAGAAAAGATAGAGGTTGTCAGAGACTTCACATTGCTTAGTTCTGCAGTCGATGCCAATGGAAGCAGCAGTCAGGACATCAGAGGACATATAGCACTGGGCAAGTCAGCTACAAAGGACCTCTTTCAAGTGCTGAAGAGCAAAGATGTCTCCTTGAGGACTAGGGTGCTCCTGACACAAGCCATGATATTTTCAGTCACCTCATGTGCATGTGAGAGCTGGACAGTGAATAAGAAAGACTGAAGAAGAGTTGATGCTTTTGAGCTGTGGTGCTGGCGAAGAATGCTGAAAGTACCATGGACTGCTAAAACAAGTAACAAATCTGTCCTGGAGGAAGTGCAGCCAGAATGCCCCTTGGAAGCGAGAACGGTCAGACTTCGTCTCACCTGCTTTGGTCGTGTTGTCAGAAGGGACCATTCCCTGGAGAAAGATGTCATGCTTGGTAAGGTGGAGGGTCAACGAAAGAGGGGAAGGTCCTCAACGAGATGGATTGACACCGTGGGTCTGGCAATGGGCTCAAGTATTGCAGGGATCATGGAGCTGGTGTGGGACCAGGCAGTGTTTCGTTCTGTTGTGCACAGGGTTGCTATGAGTCGGAGACGACTCAACGGCAGCTAACAACAACAACACACACATATGAGGCAATTGAACATGCCATGGCTTGGGGCAGGTGCATTTTAAACTTCAAAGAGATATCTTTGCTCTTCAGCACTTCGGAGAGGCTTTTTGGAGCAGATTTGCCCAGTGCACTGTGTCGTCTGATTTCCTGACTGCTGCTTCTGTGGGTGTTGACTGTGGATCTAAGTAAAACGAAATCCCTGATCCTTCAACCATTTCTCCATTTCTCGTGCTTGTTTATTGGTCCAGATGTGAATTACGGACTTTAAGATGGCCACGTGGTGAGTTTGGTGTTACATGGCATCATGTATGTAGCATCATCGTTCTTACACAGTTTATAGTGATTTGGGTGAAAGTATACAGAACAAATCGGGCTTCCAGTCAACAGTTCATACACAGTTTGGTTTGTGACGGTCATTGCAATCCTAGAATGCAATAGCACTCTTCCCACTTCCTGCTTCACCATAATTTTTAAAACAAATGTTCCACCTATGGCCTCCAGACACACGGAAACGTGGAACACTCAAATGGCAACATTTCAAAATGAGGTCACGGTCCTAGCCAGGACAAGAGGGCCTGGTTGGGGGTGCCGCGTGTGTCGATGCCATCAGCGCCACACGGCAGTGGCTGGAGGAAGCCCCTGTGTGTGTCTGGAGGTGACGGCCCAGGCCTAGGCGGCATATGTGATACGAGTGTTCTGTGACATAAGAAGTCTTCTCTGATGCTGCAGAGAGGTTTCCTGGTGCACCGGGCTCTCTGCCCCTGAGCAGCAGCCAAAATCAGGGAAAGTGTTCCTCATGGGCACTGGTGATGCAATGGTTAAGTGCTCAGCTGTGAACTGAAAGGTTGTTGGTTTGAACCCACCAGTAGCTCCCTGGGAGGAAAGACCTGGGACCAGCTTTCATGAAGAGTCCAGCTGGGAAACCCTTTGGGGCAGTTGTGCGCTGTCACCTGGAGTCACTCAGTGGTACCCAACAACATTCCTGGGTAGAAGCCGGACAACAGGGCAGACACCCGAAGTTATGTCAGCTCATCAGAGCCGTCCGTGGTGGCAATGCTAATGGCCTGCCATTCAGTCATCCCTTGGCGTCTGAATTCCCTGACACACCTTCCTGTCCAACAGACCTTTGGTCTCTGACAGACCCAGGTGGCCCCTTCACTCCATCACCGCTTCATCTGAGGCCAAATGTGCCACGTGGCAACAGCTCAAGTCCCACTGCCAGTTCAAGGTGTTTCACTCCAACCCAGGAATGAGGGGCTCCTAGACATAAGGGGGCTTCTGGTGGAGGAAGCTTGAAGTGGCCCTGTTCACCCACCAGCAGCCAAGCAGGGGCCACCTTTGTGACCAGGAAGAACAAGAGGTCACCTGCCACCCAGGGAAATGTCCCAAAGTTGGCCAGCCCAGCTGTGACAGCAAGCAACCAGGGTTTGTGACACTTTACAGGGGCTGGCCTCAGCCCCACCCAGGTCCAGAAATGTCATCTGGGGCAAAGGTCTCCCCTGCTGGAACCGTGCCAGTTCCAGGTTCTTGCCAACACTTCAGTTGGCAGAAAACTTGCATGACAGTTGTAGAGGTCGCAGGCTGCAGCCTCTCGAATCCCAAGGTGCCAGGAGTCAGAGGACACCCCAGTTGCAGGGGGCTGAGAGCCCTTGAAAGTGCCCCAGCCTCAGGCCACCAAAACCTCCCTGACCTGCCTCTTGCCTGCCTCCCAGACCGAGGCCTCAGAGGGCCCGGGAGGACCTGGGCATCGAGAACAACCTGGGGGTGGGGCGTCGAGGGCGCCTGCAGGGTGGCAAGGATGACCTCAGGATGGGCGCTGGCAGCGGCCACGGCCGGGAGGGAGCCTGCAGCAGCCAGTGGAGAGGCCTTGGAGACTGCCGGCCGATGGTGACCGGAAGTCTTACAGCTGCCCACGGTGTTATCCCCATCAAAGTGACTGTCATACCAAAATGAGTCTGCCTCCTGCCCGCACCCCCGGGACCCTCTGGAAGGGCAGTCAGACCCAGAGGCACAAACCCGAAGGCAGCCTGGACACTTAGCCTCAAGAGAGAACTTGGGCGCTGTGGACGCCCCAGAGCTGAGACGAGGCTCCATGAGCACTCGGGCGTCTGTGTCCTCGTGGGTGGGGGAGCCCCGTGCTTGGGGACTGACCGTCCATATGATCAAAGGTTTCAGCTCCACCTGTGTTAACCCTGTGCTTGCCCACTGGGGGCAGGTGGACTTTGGGAGGATTCTGACACTGTTCCCTGCCTGCACCTCAGTGAGTGAACTCCCGTCTCTCCTCACAGGGTGACTGAACTGGCTCTGTGGCTGCCTGAGCGTGGACCCACCCACCTGTGCAATGTCTGTGTGACCTGACATCCCTTTGATGTGTCTGGGGGGACGCCCCCCCAGACTGCATTCTCTGTGACTGTGGACCCAGCCAGTACCCCAGGTCAGCTGTTGCCCAGTCCCCAGTCCCAAAGGGGGACCCCACCAGTATCTGCTGCAGCATCCCAGGGCTCTGGGCCCTGCCCCCACGTCTGTCTGTCCTCTGAGCCCTGCCCCCACTTCACCAATCACCCCTCCTGGGCAGAGGCCTGCATCCAGTCCTGACTGTGGCAGTCAGGGCCACCGAGTTCTAGTAGAGGGTCCCTGCACACCATACAGGCCACCCCTCACCCCCACATGCCCCTGGGGGTGGGTAGGACCTGACTTTGAGAGGACTAAAGGAGCTGTGGGGGCGCAGTGCCTAAGGCACGTGACTGCTAATCAGAAGGCTGGCAGTTCAAACCCACCAGCCACTCCTCGGAAGGAAGACTGGCAAATCCACTTCCATAAAGATTTACTGCCTCAGAAATCCAAAGGGGGTCACTATGAGTCAGAATCAACTCAATGGCAGTGGGTTTTGTGTTTTTGTTTTGTTTTGTTTTGTTTTTTCATAATGAAGCAAGACATCTGCTGAAGCCAGGGATGCATGTGACCCAGTTCCTCAGCCCTGCAGCCCCCCCAGGAGACCTCCTCAGCTCCCATCCATCACTGTGATGTCACTCCCAGAGGGTGCCTGCCCAAGCCGGGAAGGGTGACTCATCTGGTGAGTGGGTGGCAGCCTGGGGGTTCCCAAGACCTCTTCCTGTCTAAGAGAAAGCAAAGTTGGTCCCGCCAAGCGCCTGGGGACGTCCCTAAGCTGACCTGGCACTGGGCCAAGGAAGTCCCCCACCCCCAGCTCACTGGGCAGCCCCCCTCGTCTTCTGGGGGAGCAGGACAGCTGGCTGCATTGGCCCTGGCCCTGGGGTGCCTGGCTGCCAATGCCACGGAGCCAGTGCCCTGAGAGCCGGTGGCTGCAGGCCCCTCCTGTCCGTCTGTCTGTGCCCGGCCTGTGCACTGGGTGCCCAACCCCAGCCTGCAGGCACTTCCCAACCCTGGGGCACCTCCACACCCCCCCCCATGCCTTGGGATGCTCCAGCCTGGCTGAGTCAGGCCCCTTGGGCACCCACCTTCATCAGTCCCAGGCTGCCGCCCACCAGGCAAGTGCTGGCCACTGTCCTTTTTCTAGTAAGGCTTGAGAGGTCAGCCATGTGCTGCCCTGAAGGCAACTGGCTTGGATCTCACTCAGCAGGCACCTGACAGCACTTCCAGAGACCCCCCCTCCCCCCAGCCCAGAGAGACTGGTCCATGGCAGGGCCATGGCTGGGACACCGTGGCCCATCTCCCAGCTGCTCAGGGTCCTCCATTGGTGCCCAGCAGAATGAAACACCGCCCGGTCCCACACCAGCCTCAGAATCCCTGCTGTACCTGAGCCCGTCGTTGCAGCCACTGTGTCGGTCCATCTCATTGAGGGCCTTCCCCTTCTTCGCTGACCCTCTACTTTACCAAGCATGCGGTCCTTCTCCAGGGAATGGTAGCCCCAGGTGAGGGAGACCTGAGGTGGTGGCCCACGGAAAAGGCTGGGAGGCTGGCTCGCCCCCTGATGCCAACCCACCACAGGGCGGGCAGGGCCGCTGACGCCACGGGGCGGGCAGGGCCGCTGAGCTTGTTCAGCCGCCTCATCCTTCACGTCACAGAGCAGCCGGGAGAAGGGGCCCCAGGAACACGAGCCTGTAGTGGAAGCACTGACACCAGATGCTGCCTTGTTGGCTCCGAGTCCTGGTGCCCACGGTCTCAGCGGCTGGTTCGCCACAAGTAGATGAGCAGGCCTTCTGGGTGCCTTTGCTGGACTAGAACCTACAGCCTCACAGTCAGCACCACCCAGGGACCCCAGACAGGTAGCTACACGGACTAGCCCTCAGTGGGATGGGCGGATGTGTGGCTGCAGCGACGGGCTCAGGTACGGCCGGGATTGAGGCTGGTGCAGGGCGGGCATGGCTCCTTCTGTTGCACATGGGGTCGCTGTGAGTGGGAGACAACTCCACAGCACCTAACAACACAGACGAACCCGCTGCCATGGAGTCCATTCTGACCCACAGCGCCCCTAGAGGACAGAGTGGAACTGCCCACAGGGTCTCCA